CTCACATCGGGAAGGACCCCTTGCAATGAACACTGAGCTGCTGCCAGCCCAGTCCAGAGGAACACTAGTCCCTGTTAGCTTTACTGAATCTAGGTTAGCCTGGTACACTTGAGCATGACATAAAAGCAAAGTAAAGAGCAGATGGGAGGAAGGACAAGAGGAATTTAGGATGCACAGATTTCTCCTACCTTGAATTACTTTACCACCTTGAAAGTTAAGTCTACTAAAAATTGAAGAGTTTTGGAAAAAGAACAGAACCAGTGAAGGACTAAGATGTGTTTAAAATCTCTCCTGTTGTTGAAAGTAAGTTTAGACTTATGTGATGGCTATCAAAATGTTCCTATTTTTCTGCTTTTAGGCTTTTTTTGGGGGGTCTGGATGAGCAGAGAAGAGAGTGGGAGGGAAGGCTGGGGGAATGGTTTGGGAGCAGAAGTTTAACAAAGGATCATTTTAACAGAAACTACTGAGTAATCGCTCTGCCCCGAGCCAAGAATAACATCAACTCAGTGCCGGCAATTAGAATCGGGTCAGTGGGGCCTTGCCGCAGTGTAGCTGTCCTTATGGAGCCCAGTATGTAGAGCTACTTGTGCTGATGTCACCGGTGGTCACGGCAAGTCCTCCAATTCATCGGAAAGAAAAGGGTTTTTGCTTTCTCCTTTAGGGCAGGAAGCCGGTATGACAAGGAAGCAGGGAGGGAGAAGAGAGGAGACACAGTGGGATTTACTGATCTACAACAGATCCACTCTACCATCCCCAACCACCAGTACTCTGGCATGGCCCACAAGCATCCAGAGGCTCCTTTCATGAATTACTATATGCTGAGTACCTGGAATGGAACTCAGAACACTTGAGTGCTTACGAAGTGGTGGGTATTATTAATAAAACAAAAAAGAGGGGTCTGGCCCATTACTCATGTCTGCCAACCCAAAGACCTGAATCCTGGGAGCTGTGATTGCCAAGCAGAACCAATTCTGAGAAAAAGAATGAGCAACAAAGTATTCTGATAACTTGTTTATCAGACTGTGGTAGATGGTGCGATAAAAAATGGTAACAAAATTCCTATAAAATTAATGCCTAAAATAAGCTGGACGTGGTGGCACACTCTTGTAATCCTAGCACTTGGGACACTGAGGCAGGAGGATCGTTCCAAGTTCGAGACCAGTCTTGGCTACAAAGTGAGCCCAAGGCCAGCCTGAACTGCACAGCGAGACCCTGTCTCAAAAAGACCAAAAAAAAAAAAAAATTAATGTTTCAAATTTTATAATGGTAACACAAAGTTTTGATGTATCTCACCTCCCTTCCAAAGACATGAGAAAGACAAACAGAACAAAGCAAAGCAAAACAAAACAAGGAGAAATTTTTAATCTCTTTTCCTCTGATTAGATGGTTCTCCAAGTGCGGCTGCCAGGAAAGTGGGCTTAGTGTCCCCTTGGGACTGTGTGACATGGAAATGACTGAGTTCTTGCCCCAAACCTCTTGAATCAGAAATGAAATAGGAAGAACAGCTGGCATTTCAACTGCTTCGAGTTGATCTCTTGCTCTAGACTAAGGGTCTATAATCTAGAGCCTGCAAGCCAAATCCAGCCTGCTGCCTGCTTTTGTAAATAAAGTTTTATTGGGAGACAGCCACACTCACTCACATGTTGTGCATGGCTGTTTCCACTTTACTAGGGCACATCTGGGATATGAGTAGCTCCCAGAGATCCTATGGCCTCCAAAGCTGAAAGTATTTACGATCTGGCCATTTACAGCAGAATTTGGCCAACCTTAGCTTTGATTTAAAACAGTGTTTTTCAAACTTCTGGTTTCACCTCTGAGAGTATGAAAGCTCATAGTTGAAATTCTGTCCATTGTATTGATCACACTTCCTATCAAATGGCCTAGATTACACCTATTTTCTTGTACCTCTGTCCCAGGAAACCTCTGCCTATGGCTGTGAGTGATTTCTCTCTCACACTGGCATGCTCCTGGATCAGTCTTTTGCAAGCATGCATTCAATGCATGATGATTTCTATATTGATGATACAGTGCTAGATGGAGAGAAAGATCAAAGCTCATTCTGCATGGGCAGTTAGACATACCCACTTTCAAATTTACTTTCTGAATCAGAAAGTGCCTTTTTTTTGGTACCAGGAATCAAGCTCATGACCTAAAAAGTACTTTCTTAATTTTAATACCTAGAACAAACTGGATATCTAGGTACACAAACAAAGGCAAAAAAAAAAAAAAAAAAAAAAAAAAAAAAAAAAAAAAAAGGAGGATTGCCTTCAGTTAGAGGCCATCCTGGGATAGATGGTGAGTTCAAGGCCAGCCTACATGACAAAGTGAGATCTTGTCTCAAAAAAAATTTTTTTTCTTTGAATGTAATGGAAAAAAGGTCATACGATATTACCCCAAATATTTATTAGGAAAGCACTATGTGAAAGATGATATTTATAAAAATATAACTACTGTAAGGTAAACAAACATAAAGCTCCCTTAATATTCTAATTGCAAAGCAGGTTTTTCTTATGGATTGATGCCAGATAAACATGATTTTAATTCTACCCACTATTCTCAAACATGCAGTTAACCAAACTGCTAATTACCTATACTTTAGAAAAATGAGTCCAAAGTGAAAATTCATTAAAGCACCATCTCTATCTGAAGATTAACCCAAGAACAGAAATGCAGAATAAATTGAGAATGCACACCAGGCTTTAATCAATAATTTGGATAATTACAGTGGTTAAACTTAACAACTCAAATAAAAGTGCTCTAAGATACTGAATATTCTTTGTGTCAGAATAGTTAAAATCTTGTTAAATCATTAGTTATAAGTCCTTTAAACTAACAGAATTTATTTTCTTTACTTTCTTCCTACAATCCTAAAACTTCACTATTACTAATGTTTACCTAAATCAGTTGTGGTTTAGAAGAAAAAGGGAAAGAAATAAAATGTTGTACATATATATATAAAAAACCATGATGAATGATTTTTCTCTTTTCTCTCCAGGAGACAAGAGATAACGCCCTTCTTGGGAGTTCTGCCTCCTCCCTCAGACAGATATTCTGACAGATTCTAAAAAACATATTTTCCATATACTTCATAATTCAGTGAAACTAAACCAGCATAATCCTCAGTGAAAAAAAAAAACCCCTCCATACAAGAACAGCAGTACTCTGAATTTTCAAAGGAATGTGAGTTGCTGGAAGCTAATCAAAAGCACAAGAGGGGCTCAAAAATGAAGCAGTTTCTAAAAGTGAAAATCAGCAAAACTGTCTCCCTTCCCCAAAGCTTTAATGCTCGGCAAACAATTCCTTTTATTTTTAAAAACCAACCACCATGTCAAGGTATTTCATGTGTGGTTTGCAAGGGACCAACTGCCTAGACTCATTAGAGCCACAGATGATACTCACGTAAGGGGAGCAAGACCATGGGGCGATGTCCCACCGCCCAGCATCTGAGTGCTGACACTCTCAAGTACTCAGAGTGGAAGTTCAGACGTTTCAAAAGGTTCAAGAAATGTATAGAGATTTTGAAAACCAAACAACACAACAAAACTCTAGGATATACATTTATATCTGTAATTTTGAAAATGTAAACTGACTTACATCCTTCTACTGGCCCAAAGATTTTCTAAATAAATTTCTATGTGACAAATGACAGTGTGGTGATCAAAATGAAATGTCATTTTCTATGCTCTCCTGATTAAAAGTCTGGATTTTTCTCCATGAATATCTACAATTACAATTTCTCTGAGGCATTAATCTATAGAGCACACTACCATAGGTACAGAGGATAAGAGATAAACTATTTTTTTTAGTTTTGTTTTAGTTTTGGTTTTAGGGCTTCACTATGCAGTTCAAGCTGGCCTTGGGCTCACTTTGTAGTCCAGGCTGGTCTCGAACTTGCAAACAATTCTCCTGCCTTAGCCTCCCAAGTGCTGGGATTACAGGAGTGTGCCACCATGCCCGGCTGAGATGAATTACGTTAAACCAATAAAATGACCATGTTCTACTGTAGACAGTAGTTGAAAAGGTAAGCAAAGAAACAGGGTATAATGTTAATTGATTTACTTAAAGAATACAAAAATCTTAGAGAACTAATCCACCTTTGAATAAGTATTAATTCTGCACAAACTGCTGCAAATTGTACTATACTATATACTTTTATAAAAGAATCAAATGGCAAGACCTCAAATTATTACAAGGTATTTCTTCTACAATCAAGTAGTGGGGGAGCCTACAGATCAGTATTAATTCAGTTCAATAACCCTACTGTTGAACACATTAGCTGATATAACCCTGAATCATAAAGAAAATCTAACACTTTGTGGCCAGACCCATTTTGGCAGACTGCCCTTTCTCTGTGATAGGCCCACACCAACAGTACGTAATACACAGCTCCTCACACATGTTCCTCAGGAGCTTTTGTCATCTCCTAGATACGACTGTCTAGGGAATCAACACTTCTGCATGGACGTTCCATCACAACAAGGATGTCTGTGTGGATGGTCATGGCTACAGCGCCACTGGTTAACAGTGTCTGGCACGTGATAGACACTCAGTGAATGTCTGTTATTTCCAAAAAGCAGCAACCTTAACTTTGTGACCATTTCCTACAGGAAAACTTTGCAAGTGACTTATTCTTTAGAAAATCTTGATAGATCATGAAAGATTAACACATACTTCTGTAGTAGTACATATTAAAATAAAGATGCTTAAAATGCTTGCCTTTAGGTATCTGGGAATTAGATACTCTAGGAAGCTACTGAACTAAGATCATATAGCAAAAAGTGTATTACAACACAGATTTTTGTACATTCAAATGAAAGAATCATGTCAAATACTTGTTCAGCATTGCCTCCCAGGGAAGCAAAGTTATGGCTTCTCATGAGTCATCCAAGCTAGGTTGATGCTGGGAAACTCCCTCTACATTGCCCATTCACGTACCTTTAACTTTTTTTTTTTAACCAACAGAAAGAAGATACTTATGCATGGAGCTTATTTTGAATTACCTGGTGCCGGGCTCGACTCTGATCCAGAAGCTGCCGGGACTGTAGTTTTTGTTGTTCAAGTTGTTGAAGGGCAAAATGGAGTTGGTAACTGCCTGCCGTGGGGAGATACTTATGCTGGGGGACCACCCCTGTAGCCTTGCTGTATGCGTTGGTCTCGATCTCTCCCTCCCAGGCAAAGCCACTGGCTTGGAGGCTCCTGAAGAGAACAGAAAGCAGATTTCTTGGAGTGGTTTTCTAGCAGAAAATAAGAGATGTGTCTCAGGTATTTTTCCTTTATTAAGCCATATACAGTTTGGAATTACAAATCCATTTGTGAGATAATTAGTTAGCTACAGCCCCGAAGGACAGACGCAGAGGTTGCTTTGCTCTCCATTTGACCCCCAGCACTTATGATAAGGCCTGGTCCTCATGGTCAGGGTGGTAAATATTTACTGGATGTTGAAGAACTAACATAGCAATTTTACTCCCCTGCGATTGCCTCAAGGCCCTTCAAGAAATGTCTAGAGAGCCTCAAATTCCTAATTTAAGGTAAGAAGAGGGTCACAATCATCTTCTCTAACTACCAATTTAAAAAGTAAAGGGGTAAATTACACAGAATCCTCAGTTTCCCTTAACTATCCATTAGTGAAATATCTAAATCTTTTTTAAAAGCTATTTATACCAGAACTTACATCTTCATCACAAGATAACGTAACTGGTATGAGAAGCTACTTTTTTCATTTTCCAAATTTAACTCTATGTGGCTGCCCCTGAGGCTGACGGAGAGCTCATGTACGCTAAGAAGGCAAAGACCTGGTAGCCTTTTTGACTGGCCAGTACCTAGGACTGTGGTGACAAATCAATGGCATGCATGTTGTCTTTCTTTTAAAACAAAGGATATTAACACACAATCTGTTTTTTCTAAATTAAAATCTCAGTATTCAGGTGTAATTGCAGTGTTGGCATTTGTGATAAATGGCTTATAGGTTTCAGTTTGGATACTCGACTCTAAAAGGTATATCATCACTGACTTACGCTATACTGTTTGTTAAGTATTTCACCTGTCTCTCTAGCCCAAATTCTTAAATCCCAGATTCCAGTGACCATGTCTATGTAAACACACATAGAAGTCATCACAGCTGCAGGCTATGTTTCCCTCTTTGATCATTTCAGGTAGAAAAGTCACCATTTCATACTCTTCAGCACTTCCTACTCACTAGGATGCCCATTATCAAAACAAATGCAACACCACAGAGTAATGTGCTGCTGAGGAGGTGCAAAACATGAAACTCTGTGCAATGCTGATGGGAATTTAATTTGGTGCAGCTGCTGTGCAAAACACCTTAGTGGCTCCTCAAAAATTAAATACAGAATTTCCAGAGAACCCATCAATTCCACTTCCAGATACGTACCCCAAAGAACTGAGGTCACAATGGGGAACAGTTCATCAATGTTCAAAGCAACATTATTTATACTAGTCAAAAGGGAAAATACTCTAAATATACACTAAGAGGTGAATGGTAAACATACATTAAGTGATGAGTGGATAAGCAAAATGTACTACCTGTACTAATGGGATATTACTTGGCTTTAAAAAGGAAGGAGGGCCTGGAGATGTAGCGTGGTGTAGAGCTCTTGGCTACTGTGTGTGAGGTCCTGGGTTTGAGCCCTGGCAACAACACACACACATAATTCTGATACATGTTATGACACGCATGAACCTTGAAGACACCACACTAAATGAAACAAGTGAGTCACAAAAGGATAAACAGAATATGATTCTGCTGATATGTGGTACTTAGGATAGTTAAACTACACAGACAGAAAGTAGAACAGTGATTGGATGGGGGATTAGGGAGTTACTGTTTAATGAGTACAGGTGTTCTATCTAGAGTGAAGAAAAGGTTCTGCAGATGGGTAGTGCTGATAATTACTCAACAGTGTGACGTACTAAATGCCATTAATTGTACACTTACACATGATGAATGTTACACAGTACGCATTTTAACACAATGTTTAAAGTCCTACTTATTGTGAGAACAATCTTACAGTTGTTCCACCTCCTTAATGCTTCTGGTGATTCTTCTCTGCACTTTTTTTTTTTTTTTGTCTTTTTCCTTTTTATTGGTACCGGGGATCGAACTCACGACTGCCTGCTTGCAAGGCAGGCGCTTATGCCGCTGAGCTAAACCTCCAGCCCCCACTTTCTTTATCTACACTATTTTTTTCTTCCTTTTTGAGCAGAAAAATTATTCACAAAAGAAACATTATAAAGGCTCTCATAGTGAACAACTTTACATTCACCTCAGGTGAATGGTCTCAGAGAAATAACAGAGTTAACCTGAGACGTGTTATTGGTGATTTATACTACTGGGCCTGGCAGTGTAGCTCAGTGGTAGAGCTCATGCTTAAAACACTTGAGGCTCTAGATTTTAGAAAACAAACAAATAAATCACTGTGTTAATCTTTTTGTTGGCATTAATCATCACTCAACAGGAGAGGGGCATCAACACTGGAGGTATGCAGACCTTCCTGAGTCCTTAAAAAAGGCCACCAGGTTGTCTATACCCCGGGTCCTGATGACCGCACAGCACGCTGTGCAGGGAGCGAAGTGATTACAGAGCCCAGGAGTCTGTCCCTGTGTTTGGCCTGTGGCTTCTTTCATAGCTTGGCAATTTAAGGTCTCTGCTTTGGTTTCCCAACTTCTCTCAAATAGATTCCTAAATACCTAGTTAGGAAATTCTGTGCAATATATCCTGAAATCCATGAATGGAAGGATTTTATTCACGTAATCTCACCTCTGAAACATTACATCCCTCACTCAGGGACCGGGCACTCAATTTGATTCTTACAATTAAAATTACAGCTACTCTTTTTGGAGGACAGTACCAACAAGCAAGGAGCTGCTTCTTTGTCTTTGAGTATGATAGCTAATCTTCAGTGATCCCTCTGGAAATGCTGTGATGCATAGCTATTACACAGCTAAAAAAAACCAACCTTTTGCAAGGGGCTTATGGAGCAATGAGGTGTCTACTGATAAAATATAAGGGCCTAACCATAGTAATGAAACGTAGCATTATTCACGAAGTATTGAGTGGGAGTAAAACAGGATTACATGGTTAGGAAAAGAGGAGCCAGGAATCTGTTATCTTTCTTCTCATTAGCAAGGGAACAGACATTTACTGAAGATAATATATATGAAGCAGGCAGGGCAGCTAAAGGCACTGAGTTGCAACTAGAAGAAGGGTTGTTGGGGAAAGGTATTCTTTTTTTTTTTTTTTCTTTTTATTGAGACAGGGTCCTGCTATGTATGTTTAGGTTAGTCTTGAACTGAGGGCAATCTTCCTGTCTCAGACTCAAGTGCTGGGATTACAAGGATGCATCACCATGCCTGAAGTATTCAGATTTAAATGAATACAAACGTCAAGGAAGAGGTGAGCAGTCCCTTCCTTGAACACAAAGAAGGGCAAGTAAAAAAGCAGGAAGTGCCCTGGGTATATGATCTTGAGATCTCTATGCCACTGTACTATAATACTTTGAATCTAGAATGAAATTATTATTTATGATCAACAGATTAAAGCAGTGCTTCCGCTTCCATTCCTTGCGTGGTTGCTGATTACAGAAGTTTACAGCCACAGGCAGCAATCTAGACTCAGTGCTTTTTTATACTTTTTTTTTTTTTGTCTTTTTCCTTTTTATGGGTACTGGGGATCGAACTCACCACTGCCTGCTTGGAAGGCAGGCGTTTATGCCGCTGAGCTAAATCTCCAGCCCCGACTTTGTGCTTTTTTAAACACAGTTTCGCTATGTACTCCAGGCTGGCCTTGAACTCATGATCCTCCTGCCTCAGTTTCCTGAGTGCTGGGATTACAGACAAGTACCATAACACCTAGCTAGTCTGCATGATTAGATATTAGAGGAGTCATGTAATTATGTAACTTTTATCAGAATTTATCTTATTAGGTAGCAATATTGATTTTATTCGCAAAAGCCACTTTAATAGTAAACATTCCAAGGAGACATTCACTTTAATGCCCTTTTGCTGTATTTCAGAAATCTAAGTCTATAACTAACTCACCTTAATTAGGAATGATTGTGGGCAGGTTTTTAGATATGTGAACAAAGGCAGGAATCAACAGATGTATAGCAGAGAGGATACTGGATAAAAGAAAATCAAATACGGGTCTTTGGATAAGAATTATTTTTCCAATTGCACATATATTGAACAGACTAAAACATATAAACTTTTATAAGGAAATCTGTTTTTAATCTAACCAGCAATACAAGCTCATTCTCCAAATCACAGAAGGAAGATTCTTAAGAAAGCAGAGGCTTTCAGTAAAGAGGCAGGAACTTTCATAGTATAACACTGGGTGGGGGGGATGGGGTGTTCAGTCGTGTAATGTAACAGATGCCACAAGAAACTCGCTTGCTTTGAGTTACAGTGTGCAAGGCTGTGGTGACTGACATAGAGGTGGCCAGGAGCACCTGAACTTGGGCTTTCCTGAATTCCTGGCACCTGAGTTTCCATATCTAGAAACTCCTTTCTATACCATCTAATGGTTTTCATTCCATTCAAAATTCCATCCATTCTTTGGAAGTTTTTTTTTTTTTCCCTAGTAATAGTTTCTACTTCCACCAAAAATTTGAGAGTCAATCACTCTCTTTAAAATTTTGTGAAATTCCGTGTCCAAAATGCATGGGACAGAAGTATTTTGGATTTTTAAAAAAAATTTGGAATATTTACATATATATAATGAACTACCTTGAGGACATCTTTACAAGCAAGAATATCCAACCACTTCAGTGGCAGATTCTAGAATGCAAACACGTTGACATTTTGACCGAAGTCATATTTTCTTTTTCTATGAATTCTCAATCACAAAGCAGCCGTGGCACCCAGAAAGTGTTACAGACTCTACAGATGACAGGACTCTCCTGAGCACTACAAAGGGTCCTAGCAGAATAACGAAGATGCGTGATTGGACAAGCATAATAATGTGATGGGGATCTCCCTGCCTTTGTGAGTTATTTCCAAGAACAAAGTTAGAATAGTTCTTCATGAAATGAACATTATATGCTCTATTACAAATGCTTTCCAGGGCAGCTGGAGTTGGGTTATATTCACAGAGATCAAATGGATAAGGACGAAATTAATAAGCTGGAAAGGATTCTCCATCTCAAGGCCTTTAGTACATCTAACTTTTCTATCCTTTA